AAATATCGTTAACCGGGGGTCCACTATAATGGTTAACATATTTAAAATCCCCACATATCCTCATATAGTTAGCCTTTAATACAGGTACAACAGGTACAGACAACTCAATATGGAAAATTGGTTGTAAAATCCCTCCCTTTATTAGTTTTTCTAATTCTGCTTTAATCACTTTTCACATGAATTGTGGCCACAGATGCTAAAGATAGGCTTACTTCAAAATTATCTAACAGTTCTTCAGCTCTGTCCAGTTTGTTAATTTTGATATATTCATCTAATTTAACAGGGTAAATCCCAACTTTTTACATGAAGTCTTTTCTACACAAGTTACTGTTATTTGACTTCACTACATAAAATATTTATGATACCTCTAAGTTATTATAGCATAACGGCAAAACAGCTTTTCCCAAAAGACATATTTTCCAATTACTATATGTAGTTGCCTTTCTAGAACATGGTTCTATGTGGCCTTTTAATGTCTCGACACAGTCTTTGGATAATGTCGAGATGAAAGCGCTAAGTCAATCTCAAAGGGAACCTGGAGTTTACCTGGAGTTTACCTGGAGACAGTTCCGGGGGTCAACGCCACCGCGGCCCGGTCTGTGACCAGGCCTCCTGGTGGATTAGAGCCTCATCAACCAGGCTGTTGCTGCTGGCTGCACGCAAACCAACGTACGAGCCACAGCCCGGCTGATCAGGAACCGACTTTAGGTGCTTGTCCAGTGCCAGCTTGAAGACTGCCAGGGGTCTGTTGGTAATCCCCCTTATGTATGCTGGGAGGCAGTTGAACAGTCTCGGGCCCCTGACACTTATTGTATGGTCTCTTAACGTGCTAGTGACACCCCTGCTTTTCATTGGGGGGATGTTGCATCGTCTGCCAAGTCTTTTGCTTTCATACCGAGTGATTTTCGTGTGCAAGTTCGGTACTAGTCCCTCTAGGATTTTCCAGGTGTATATAATCATGTACATAATCATGTATATAATCAATATATCTGAAATGCGTAGGGAGACACTGGTCAGAGAAATAGCAAGCATCGAACTCAAGCTAAAAGAATCCTTTAAGAGTCAGGAATCGCGGGAAGAACTAAAAGCCATAAATTAAATCGAAAAAAAACCAAAGTATTTCTTCTCCTATGCCAAATCAAAATCGAGAACAACGTCCAGTATTGGGCCCCTCCTTAAACAAGATGGGTCCTACACAGATGACAGCAAGGAAATGAGTGAGCTACTCAAGTCCCAATATGACTCAGTTTTTAGCAAGCCGCTAACCAGACTGAGAGTCGAAGATCAAAATGAATTTTTTATGAGAGAGCCACAAAATCTGGTTAACACAAGCCTATCCGATGTTATCCTGACGCCAAATGACTTCGAACAGGCGATAAATGACATGCCCATGCACTCTGACCCAGGGCCAGACTCATGGAACTCCGTGTTCATCAAGAACTGCAAGAAGCCCCTATCACGAGCCTTTTCCATCCTATGGAGAGGGAGCATGGACACGGGGGTCGTCCCACAGTTACTAAAAACAACAGACATAGCCCCACTCCACAAAGGGGGCAGTAAAGCAACAGCAAAGAACTACAGACCGACAGCACTAACATCCCATATCATAAAAATCTTTGAAAGGGTCCTAAGAAGCAAGATCACCACCCATCTAGAAACCCATCAGTTACACAACCCAGGGCAACATGGGTTTAGAACAGGTCGCTCCTGTCTGTCTCAACTATTGGATCACTACGACAAGGTCCTAAATGCACTAGAAGATAAAAAGAATGCAGATGTAATATAAACAGACTTTGCAAAAGCCTTCGACAAGTGTGACCATGGCGTAATAGCGCACAAAATACGTGCTAAAGGAATAACAGGAAAAGTCGGTCGATGGATCTATAATTTCCTCACTAACAGAACACAGAGAGTAGTCATCAACAGAGTAAAGTCCGAGGCAGCTACGGTGAAAAGCTCTGTTCCACAAGGCACAGTACTCGCTCCCATCTTGTTCCTCATCCTCATATCCGACATAGACAAGGATGTCAGCCACAGCACCGTGTCTTCCTTTGCAGATGACACCCGAATCTGCATGACAGTGTCTTCCATTGCAGACACTGCAAAGCTCCAGGCGGACATCAACCAAATCTTTCAGTGGGCTGCAGAAAACAATATGAAGTTCAACGATGAGAAATTTCAATTACTCAGATATGGTAAACACGAGGAAATTAAATCTTCATCAGAGTACAAAACAAATTCTGGCCACAAAATAGAGCGAAACACCAACGTCAAAGACCTGGGAGTGATCATGTCGGAGGATCTCACCTTCACTGTATCAATCGCATCTGCTAGAAAAATGACTGGATGGATAATGAGAACCTTCAAAACTAGGGAGGCAAAGCCCATGATGACACTCTTCAGGTCACTTGTTCTATCTAGGCTGGAATATTGCTGCACACTAACAGCACCTTTCAAGGCAGGTGAAATTGCTGACTTAGAAAATGTTCAGAGAACTTTCACGGCGCGCATAACGGAGATAAAACACCTCAATTACTGGGAGCGCTTGAGGTTCCTAAACCTGTATTCCCTGGAACGCAGGCGGGAGAGATAGTTTACCTGGAGTTTACCTGGAGAGAGTTCCGGGGGTCAACGCCCCCGCGGCCCGGTCTGTGACCAGGCCTCCTGCTGCATCAGAGCCTGATCAACCAGGCTGTTGCTGCTGGCTGCACGCAAACCAACGTATGAGCCACAGCCCGGCTGGTCAGGAACCGACTTTAGGTGCTTGTCCAGTGCCAGCTTGAAGACTGCCAGGGGCCTGTTGGTAATCCCCCTTATGTATGCTGGGAGGCAGTTGAACAGTCTCGGGCCCCTGACACTTATTGTATGGTCTCTTAACGTGCTAGTGACACCCCTGCTTTTCATTGGGGGGATGTTGCATCGTTTGCCAAGTCTTTTGCTTTCGTAGTGAGTGATTTTCGTGTGCAAGTTCGGTACTAGTCCCTCTAGGATTTTCCAGGTGTATATAATCATGTATCTCTCCCGCCTGCGTTCCAGGGAATACAGGTTCAGGAACCTCAAGCGCTCCCAGTAATTGAGGTGTTTTATCTCCGTTATCCGCATCTGTTTCATATTAATTACAAAAGCCATATTGTTCAGCCTTCATGGAAAGAACTTTGTCCTTCACTGCTGAACCATTTTCCTCTTCAAGCACCTTAATCGTCTTTGTCCTACGATATCGTGATGACTAGTTTCTTTACTGTTCGTTTTTTTGTCACTGCGCAATTTTAATGCATTCTTAGGATACACTTGAGATACTTCCTTACACACACTTTTCAAGTGACTTTCTTATGACACAAGTGACACGAAAACTCTTACAACCTACAGTTAACACTACTATGATGGAACCACAATGTTTACATATCTTCTCAGCGTTAATTATTATACCTCTGGAACCGTGTGTTTCTCACTATCAAAAGCCTTTTCTAAGTTCGAAAGTTTCTCAAAAATTTTGGATTATTGCATACTGTTTTAGTCCAAATTTTCTGCAACAAAGTTAGGGAAATATATTTCATTAATTGGTCCCTATCTCTGATTCCCAGAGTTACAGTTCCCTGACTAAGCCTTTAATTCCCAGAGCTACAGTTCCCTGACTAAGCCTTTAATTCCCAGAGCTACAGTTCCCTGACTAAGCCTTTAAATTTTTATACAGTTCATGCGAGGATTCATCATTTCATTTCTTCCTTTGTTGAAATTCTAACAAACTCTGAGGACAGAATTGTTTCAGGGCATAATAACTTTTCAGCGCCACTACTTTATTCATCCTGACTCTTTGTAAGGTAATTTTGATGCAAACACAATACCCAGAACACTGTAAGTTCCTGAACCCAGGGAAACTACCAAGAAGTTCCTCTTTTTATCCTGCTCTGTAAATCCCAAATGAACAAAATTGGCTTCCAACAAACATAGCCAAAGCTCCAAAGAGAATTTTAATGGATCAAAAGGCTCCAACCTTCCCTCTGATGCAATAATCATTGCCCTGATACAACATTCTTGGCTGCCAATATCTCCACGACTTCAGCAAGACATTGTCCCAATAAACTTTGGCTCCGGAATCATATCCTCGTCGCCACTGTTATGGTTGTAGGGGGTAATGAAAAATAGTAACAATAACATGGTACTCTTTGAAGACCCCGGATTACAACAAAAAACAATACACAATCGAACATAAAATAATAACATTGGATTTAATTCTGTCACCGCTCCCAACACCTTACAATGAGTAAAATGTGGAATTGTTTTTCCATTAATTGTAACTATACTTTAGAATTACTCTTGAACAGTTTTAAACTTTAATGTCCGATGCATCTTACGTACAGGAATAGTGCCCATTAGTCAGTGTTAATGCATAATTGACAAGCTTAAAAAAATGGAATCCTTGAATTCCATGCAGTTCTTCGAGAATGATTGTTTATCATTGTTTACGTCACACTGATGATGTAAACAATGATAAAAATATCATCTGACATAGTTTCTTAAATACTAATTATTACTAAATATTCTGGCGAGAAAACTGCTTCAGACAGCAGAATTTCTTCCCATTGAACACATATTTCTTCCCGTTTATATTTTGTTATATCATTCTGGAATGTATTAACATGTTTACTTGATACTGGGAGAGAATTTTGCAGTAAAGTAGACAAGGGTCATGGATGTCGATTAATAAATCAGTTTTAATACCCTTGGTGGGTTATTCTTTAGACTGAAATTGCCTCGTTTGTCGTAAATTATGTAAGAAAATTAATGCAAAGTTTTGGATGATCTTCAGGGATCAATGAAAATATCAGTTAATAGTAAGCAATGCACATTACAGGTGGGAGAACGCTACAAACTTTACTCTTTTCTGAGGTTGATAGAGAGCAAGCTGAGCAAAGGTGAGTGTTGGAGACTGGACACCTTTAATGTTAAGTATGATGCACAGGTCAAGGTGAGCTTGTGATCAAGAGTGCTTATCTCTGCAGGTGCTCACTATAACATACAGTTAGAGATGTCCACGATCAAGAGAACACTGGATGATGCCAAACGCAGCAAGGCGTCATTTAGGGACATACTGAAGCCATTCAACATGAAGCCTCTTCTCATCTGCCTTTCCATCTTGTTCTTTGCTCAGTGCTCGGGAGTTACAGCCGTTCTCTTCAACATGGCAATTGTTTTCAAGGTAAGAAATGAGAATTTACCACTTCTTAAACCTAGCAAATCTCTCTCTCTCTCTCTCTCTCTCTCTCTCTCTCTCTCTCTCTCTCTCTCTCTCTCTCTCTAAATTTTTTAACAAATTTTACACCAGCTAGCCTACCTAGGAGATCTGTCAAGTGTACCAGAAGTAAAGTTGATGTTCATAACGTTGAAACTATGAGCTATAAATCATTATACATCTAACACTAAAAAAAAAAAAAACAGAAAAGTATATCAATATGAAAGCCTGTGAACACTGTAACAATAATTCCAAGCGAGGCATCAATAGGGTAGAATTTTATTTCTGCAAGAAATGGAGTGATGGTCCATGTTCTAATATCCACCTATTTACCACTACTGATATTAAAACATGGAAATATTTTCGGGTCTGTCCGAAAGACAGAAAACAGTGGGAGCACACAAAAAATCCTTTTTGGATAATTTGACAGTTGGGAAAATAAAGAGAGTGCATCAGGTGGAGCTATCACCCTTGGTGCTGCCTTGGAAGACATTGCCTGTGAAGATATAGAAATGTAAGATAATGCACCAGATGGAGACTGTGGTCCTTGTATTGAAGAAACAGGTACGGATCTACACATACAAGAACCAGAAATTCAATATAGCACTACTTCTCGAAATGGAAAAATGTGGCTGATTCTTCTGGGGATGGTATTAATACATTACCAGCAATAACTGATATTGGTATTGATGCTGGTACAGGTACTGCATATAGTGGGGAGTCAGGAAAAAATAGCAGAGTAGGGAGCCTAACTACAAAAAATCCTAGCAAACAGAAATAACATCTATGCAGATTCTATTCCTTGGGGTGTCGGTAGAAACGAATATTTGGAAAAACAGGTAGGACGTGCAGTTTTGGCCAAACAAAAACTGACACGACTTCATGACTAAAGGAGCATGCAATTCTTCTTCTTGTGAACTCTTTTACCCTGAAATGTGTTATTTATTAGTCCATGAAAGACAATGTTACAATATATATTGTTAGGCATACCATTTAAAGGGTTCCAGAAGGTACAGTTCACGCAGAACTTAGGAAACAAACTAGGATAGTTACAGCCACTGCAGAAAAAGAGATTTTTTTTAGTGCCAGGAAGAAAAAAACTGGCAGGCAATGACAGAAATACTACACCACCTCGGATAACTACTGGAGTGGAGGCACAGTCAGTGGACCCCCCTCCAGAACAACAAATATTAGTTGCAGCAAATAAAACCCCCTACATACAATCAATAAAACATTTGTATATGAAAATACACAGAGTCTAAAGCCATCAACTAACAACAAAATAACTTTCATCCATGGACTCTTCACAAAATCACCTCTTCAAGGGGGGCTCCTAGGCGTGGTGAAGAGGCTCTTGGTCTGAGGAATTAGACCTGTTGGTCTCCTTCCTCAGACCGAACCTAATTACCCCCCAATCCCCCCTCCCTTATCCCATCCTCCCTTTTTCTTTTCCTCCTCTTCCTCCTCCCCACCCCTCCCTATTACCCTTCCTCTTTTTGGCCTTTTTTTTTTCCCCCCCACAGGCACGCTAGTTCCTGGGTAGGGGAAAGGGTACTGGGGTCCATCCCATTCCGTTGAGGTTCTTGGCGGTGGTGTAGTTTGCCGTGGAATCTGGATCGCCTGGGGATGTCCCAATCCCTCTCCGGTCTCCCAGGGAGTGACTTTGGGTATCTTTCGGGTGACCTTTGGCCACCACCTCCTTTGGCCACCACCCCCGGTGGTGGTGGCCAAAGGAGGTATGCTTTGTGCGGATATCCGGCCGCCCTCTCTTTTGTCCACCGAGGTAGCTCGGCAGATGTGAGGTTGCTATCCCAGATTGCTGGTTTACTGGCATGATGGGTAGGGTATGGCACAGGTTCCATGCTGCATCTGCACTACTTGCGGTGCTGAGGTCCTCTTGTGCGCAGAGGGAGATTTCTGGCCCTCTCATTCCTCCCAGGAACTATCCCTCCCCAGTCCCCCCTTTTTTTATTCTTTTTTTTATTTTTATTTTTTCTTCTTTCTTTTTTTTTCTTAAAAACAAAAAAAAGAAGTAACCTAACCATGGAAGCCCTAGTCCATGAACTTGCTACCCCCGGGCACCTTCTTGATACTGCACCCCGTTCTGACCCCGCCTCGTCTTTGGACCACTATTCGGACACTCCTAATGCCTCTGTACCTCTTGCCGGTGCTGTTTCCTCACCCGCTTCAGGTACTGAGGTCTCGACTGGCTCTTTCGATTTATCTGACCTCCGCTCTCCTTTGACTATGCTTCCGGCCTCTCCCTCTACGGTGCGGCAATTTTCGAATCGCCGGCCCATTCCACGTCGGACCAACTCTGGTCCCACTCCTAAACGCCAACGACAATTACCTGCTGCTGATACTTCTCCACCTTCCCGTTCTTCTCAGAAAAGATCGACACGTTCTGCACTCCCTTTCCACGCTCAGTTTCAGTTTCTCTGGGTGTGTTGAAGACACTGCCGAGAAGATATACATAGTCCTCTCCACCAACTCCATTGCCAAACATGTTTCCAACATCTTTTCCAATACATCATTCCAAGTATCTACCTCCACAACCACGACCATCAAGGACATCACCAGTAGCAGACAGGACAAGCTTCCATCCTCTGCAGGGGTATACATAATCCCTTGTAATGACTGCAACAAATTATACATGGGCGAAACCTCAAGAGACCTCCAAACACGTATTTCAGAACACCAATACGCAAGCAGGACTGACGATACAAGGAATGCCTGTGTACAACATCGCAATTCACACAACCATTTAATTAACTACAGAAACTCAAGACTTATCGCCACAGAAGACAACACTCAATACCGAAGAATCCTGGAATCATCGCTTATCTCTATAACCAACAATTTCAACCAGAACAATGGCTTCTATAACATAGCTGAACCACTTGCCAAAAAACTTCTTCATCGCTATCCCACATAAGAACATAGAACACTGCAGAAGGTCTGCTCACAACTTGTCCAATACCACTGCCAAGCTACCCAAGATTGTAGACTCTATAACCCCACCCGGTAGATCATCAGATGCAGCATTCTCCACCTGACCTCAACATTCTGAACCTGACTATAAATACGTACCTTCCACCCCAGGTAGATCTGTTTGTGACTTGAAAAAGCCCACTGTGTGGGCGAAACGTTGTCAATAAAGGATCACATTAAACTGCATATGTGTTTATGTTTCCATTGTGTCGGTATTTTATACAATTTATTTAGGCATTTCTGTCTTGGTTTAAGGTTGCTGCTCACCATAACCCCCCCAAGTCCTTTTCGCAATCTGTATGGCTAAGTTCTACATCATTTAACTTATAAGTGCTAGGGTTATGGACACTCCCGAGCTTCAGAACCTTGCATTTATCTACATTGAACTGCATCTGCAACTTTTCTGACCAAGAATAGAGTTTGTTTAAATCCTCCTGAAGTTCCCTAACATCTACGTTTGAATCAATTATCCTACCTATCTTTGTGTCATCGGCGAATTTGCTCATATCACTAGTAATTCCTCATCAAGATCACTGATATATATTATAAACAACAACGGGCCCAAGACTGATCCCTGTGGAACGCCTCTTGTTACAGATCCCCACTCAGATTTAACCCCGTTTGTGGAAACTCTCTGCTTCCTGTCTGTGAGCCATGACTCGATCCACGAGAGCACTTTTCCCCGAATGTCATGAGCTGCCACTTTCTTTAACAGTCTTTGGTGCGGAACTCTATCAAAAGCCTTACTAAAATCTAAGTAAATAATATCAAATTCTTTATCGTGGTCAACAGCCTCAAAAGCTTTACTGAAGAAAGTTAATAAATTAGTTAGACAAGACCGGCCTCTTGTGAATCCATGCTGAGTATCATTAATCAAGCTATGCTTATCGAGATGGCTTCTTATAATCTCAGCTATAATTGACTCTAGTAATTTGCCTACAATTGAGGTCAGGCTTATTGGCGGTAATTTGACGGTAACGACTTGTCCCCTGTTTTAAAAATAGGAATTACATTAGCCATCTTCCACATATCAGACACTACACCTGTTTGAAGAGATAAATTAAAAATATTAGTTAATGGTTCACAGAGTTCCATTTTGCATTCCTTAAGAACCCTTGAAAAAACCTCATCAGAACCCGGCGACTTATTTTGCTTCAGTCTGTCTATCTGCTTCACAACCATTTTACTAGTGACTGTGATGTTACATAATTTATCTTCTTCTAGCCCACTATAAAAATTAATTACTGGAATATTGTTGGTGTCTTCCTGTGTAAAAACCGAGAGAAAATAATTATTTAAAATCGAGTACATTTCATTCTCTTTGTCAGTAAGACGCCCATAGTTGTTTTTAAGGGGACCTATCTTATCTCTAACTTTTGTTCTATACACCTGGAAAAAACTTTTTGGGTTAGCTTTCGAATCCCTAGCAACTTTAATTTCATAGTCCCTTTTAGCTTTTCTTATCCCATTTTTAATGTCTCTTTTAATGTCAATATACTGATTCATAAGATGACCCTCACCTCTTTTGATACGCCTATAAATTCCTTTCTTGTGCCCTAGTAGATATTTCAGCCTATTATTCATCCATTTTGGGTCATTTCTATTTGATCTAATTTCTTTATATGGGATAAACGTTCTTTGAGCAGCATGTATAGTGTTCAGAAAACTGTCATATTGATAGCTCTCTTCGTTACCCCAGTCAACAGATGATAAGTGTTCTCTATGCCCATCGTAATCTGCTAAGCGAAAATCTGGGACTATTACTGAGTTATCCCTACTATCGTACTTCCATTCAATGTTAAATGTAATTGATTTGTGGTCGCTAGCACCCAGTTCCTCTGAAATTTCTAAATTATTAACAAGGGATTCATTGTTTACCAGAACTAAGTTAAGCAGGTTATTACCCCTTGTAGGCTCCGTCACAAACTGCTTCAAAAAAACAATCCTGAACTACTTCTAAGAAGTCGTATGATTCT